TCTTTCGTACTGAGTCGCGGAACCATTCATATATATAAATCATATATTTACGGTATCAATACGGTCCTGGGATCTTATATACTGACGCTAATGTACATGTAGGCAAAAGGGAAATAGTCGATGCCTTTAGTATTTATAGATTTAAACATTAGACGATTTTATTAAAAGTTTAAACATGTTATAGATCTTCCTACATACATGTACGAAATATCCAAGTGCAACTTTCACATGTCTTATCGGAGAATCTATATTTCGATATTTGGCCCTTAACTTTCCGAGGTTTCACCCTACGGCATTATGTATCCGTACCTAGAACCTGGGCCTTACGAAGTTCTCTACCTACCAACATGTAGATTTATTATTACCGAACTATTGGCCCTGCTATTGATTAAGAGATTGTTGATAACGGCCCCTGCATGAAAATGTACGTATATACACGAATAGCGATCCGATTTTTTCCATCCCGTTCAACCCTGCTGCATGGGAATCATTCGGGACTTGGGTAAGGTCTTTTTCGAGCTGCCATGATCGGCGGTGTGACCAATTAGCAGACTGGGACTCGACGTGCACTGCGTAATCGTCCTTGCGTCGCATATCCGCATCCAACGTGCCGTTCATAAATCTAGGCTCATCCAAGGCCTGGATACGCTGATGCGTAGTAGAATCTTTCCCCTTTCGTCCAGTATACCTTTACCGAAGTTCATCCCGTAATTGGGCTAGTTGAATTGCTAGCTATTCCGATATCTTCCGTCTTTCTGGGGTATTCTGGGTCCTATGCAAATAACTATCGTATCCAAGCCTCCAGGCCTCCAGGAGTAAGGAATGATAAGATCATATGGGTCTTTTCAGATTGGCTTCGCAGCTTCGTTACGTACTATGTAAACCGCGAATCGCCTCAGCCACGATGGATAGAAGCGGAATCCAAATACCTAACGTCTTTGGTTGGTTTGTGCGAACGTAATGGATGACACCTAATCTTAAGATTACGAGAAAACTCGGACGGCCACGTGAACTTGTATATAAGTGTGCACGGTTGGTATATCCAACGATCATTTAATTACCGTTCAGCCGTTTTCCAACATCTATAATTGGAAAAACGGGGGCATTTTGTTAATGATGTACGTACCCTCAAATCAGCGTCAAGATGTTAGCAATTACTTCTCCTGTTCTCGTGAGGTCATCAAGCGCTAGCATGAGATAACGATTAGCGCCGAGGGGCCCAATCCGTCCTGTTGCAGTAGCAGAGTAGTAAAACATCATCGGGCAGAACCGGGAAGATGATAACATAATACACGAAGGCCAGACCTGTCTTCGACCGTGGTCCAGATTTCCCCGGGAAATCGGTGGAGCTCCGTTCGGCCGGGTAAAATATCAAATACCATGCGGATCCGGTCCGACCCGCGGGTTAAACGTCATTTCCACCGAGGAGTGCCGATCCTTAATATTCCATACCATGTTATCCTTCCCTCTCGTGATAGTGGCAATCCGATTATGTATGGTTATTGTAGAAAAGAGAAAGAAGGTTATACGATATTTTATGGTTATCCTTGCGAATGGTTTTAGGAAACCATCTAGTTAAGTTGATTGCTAGAGCGAGACGAATTAGTTATTCTTAAGAATTCTTCTCAAGGTGCCCACGATGTACGTAGCTGCACTCGTAGTAACCGTGTAAGAAGTATCTTATATCATTACTGTAAAGGAATATCCTCGCTCGAGTCTCGTCTCTATCCGATGAAAACTAACTTTTTAAGGCCTCGACTAAGTTTTTCATCCAATCCCCAGAAAGTAACCCAACGAAAGTTGTCCAAGTGTGTCCTCAAATGCGAGATCTATTTCATCTTCACATGGACATAAATTACCTACGCTGGGGTGTTTCAAGGCATCCGGGATTAATGAAATGAATCCAGATAAGCATAACTTAGCTAACCAAAGTTGCCCATTCCAACTATTGTTACATTATTTTTAGCTCCGACTCTTCGCCTCGCAAGACAGAGCTATGTATTAAATTGGCCAGGTACTAAAATATGCCTAGTAAAAACTCTTGCTATTTATAGAGTTCTTGTTAAGCATGTCCTACTATTGTATGCCAGCTGTGTACCACTTGCTCAACTACGTCTGCCAGCTGATACTAACATATCATAATCATTACGCTTCATGAATATGTGCAATACCTGTCTGCTTAGTAATCATTCAATCAAAATGAACGGAATATGAAGTAATCCGTATGCAGATATTACATAAATGATCAATATTTACAGCGACAAATCGGCACTTGAACTTAACGAATTATTCATGATCTTCGAAGAACGTTCACATAAGCTCTCTCTCCTAGCGATATGAATTTGTATATATTTCCTCGATTAACCTAAAGTACGGTTAACGTATATTCTTCCTGTATCAATGACCCGATAGCCCAACATGGATCGGAACCCACCAACCCCTTCCGGTACTCCGGCACCTTACGGTCACGCCTGCGTGAGCTGTGCCCAGTCTAAATGCAAGTGTATTATTCGTCCAGTTGGAGGTCCTTGTGAGAGGTAGGTATATTTTCATCTTTCCCCCTTCTCTTCGGACAAGATAACTAATAGGGCTAGGTGCTATCGACTAAATAGAGAATGTCGGCCGGGAGAGTCAGTTCGGCGACGCAACCACAAACGGCCTGCTGTGACCAAACCGAAGAAGACGGCGCGGCTTGAAGAGAAGCTAGATGGTCTGATATCACTTATTAAAACCGGTGCATCGGGTACTTCGGCCGTCGCATCTCCCCAGCCCTCAGCCTCTACGGGCGCCTCCCCACCTAATAACGGTATCCAGGCAGATCTTAATGGTCATCCCCATCATCAATCTAATGAAGGCTCACCTTCCACTGACCCAAATGACCATATTCACAATATAATGAGCCAAACTACGGACCCTGATTATACGGTTTCATATGAACCCTCCTTAGCTGAGGCGGAAGAATATCTTTCAAATTTCAAGACCTACAAGTTAAAATATTTCCCATTCGTTTACATTCCATCTACTACGACTGCCCATCAGCTCCAGCAGGAGAAGCCGTTCTTATGGCTTTGTATAATGGCAGTAGGTTCTAAGTCGACGTTACAGCAACAGATTTTAGGTAAAAGAATACGCCAAACCGTAGCACAGGAGATGATAATTCGATCTGTAAAGAGCATGGATCTTCTACTGGGGCTTCTAGCGTTCATTGGCTGGTATAGTGTTCCCTTACTAGCTAGGATTGAAATGTTGCGTGCTAAAACTTCCTAGGGCCACCTACCAAGTCCAGCGCGAGCCTTTTCTATCACTATTTACTCAGCTTGCGGTGTCCTTGGTGTTTGACTTAGGACTCACGAAACCAGTTCTTAAAGATCCCGATTCGACGCTGTGTTGGAATAGGAAGTATTCAAGACCTGCCACACCACGGACAATGGAGGAACGGCGAGCTGTGCTTAGCTGCTTTCTAATTACGTCAATGTACGCCCGCTATTTAATATGTGTTCGGTCCATAAATTTACCATTCACAGAGTATCTTCCTTTCTACAGAAAATCGACGCGCTGCGCTGGACACCGCACATGGATGACTGCCTCCAAAAACTAAGCGAGGAGAACGAATGTCCGAACGACGAGGTACTTGTAAAACAAGTACAGCTGCAATTTATCATTGAGAAAACGAACCAGCAAGCCTCACATGATGGAGCGAGAGAGCCCACTTGTACATATCTTGAAAGCTTACATTCACAGTTGCAAGACGTCAAAGAAAGCGTCTTGTGTAAGCCCCAGGGGAACGGTAGGTTACCATATAAACCGGTCTGGACTCTATTGCTCACATTATAGTAGAGGTGCTACTTTTACATTTATATAGCGCGGAGCTAGAGACTACACTTTCGCCATTTCTTCATGGCAAGCCATTAACGTCTCAACAAGAAACTGTCAATGCGAGCCTTACATCGATAAAATCCTGGTTTGATGTCTTCTTTACACTAACACCGGATACCTATATTGGGTTCCCATCTTCAATACTTTCACAACTGCTGCGCTGCCTAGTCACACTCTACCGACTTAGGGTTATGAGTGACCTAGCGTGCGTCGGAGATAGTGTTGAGGTTATGGATCCCCTTCTCCTCTTAGATCGCGTAGTTAGCAATATGGAACAGGTAGAAGTTCTTAGTGGTCTAGATAACAGGGGCGTTCAGGAAAGAGACATATTCTTTCGAGCCGCACAGATGTTTCGGGCTTTACGACCGGGGTGGGAAACAGAACTACGATCAAAGGAACTTGCGCTCTCTAATAACACTATGCCGCAGAATTTCGATGAGGTCCCTATGCAAGACTTCCTTGGAATGGATTTCTTGGACATTGACTGGATTACAGATTTCTACGTCCCCCCGAATTAGCCACTACTCAATATATAAGGATTAAGAGATGTATATCGCTAGTAAATCGATGATCCCAGACTATTAGCTACCACCTACACCTTTCACTGTGAAATAGAACAGGGGCGCATTGGCTTTCATTATATTGCATAGGATGGATATAAGATCGCACGCCCTGGGAAACGGGGTCTTGTCTCCGACTCGCGATCACGAATTATGAATCTCGGGGTAACTTTTGCAATAGTGTTGTATGAGCGGAACGATTAAAACGCCCGGCCACGCTAAAAGAAAATGTCTTTAATGAAGATCCAGTTACGCGAGAGATATTCTCGCTTAGTTACCTTTGGAATCATCTGGACGTGGAGTAGAGAAGTAATTGAGATTGGTGTAGTAAAGTAAATGATTGGTGCGTCGGATTTCGATTTTCGGATTTGGATCCTGAACCGGCGAAATCCGAGGAGCCCCCCTTATGCCCTCTTGTCAGTCTCGACTGACTATCATGTTTCGCAATGGACTTCTTCGTTATAAAAACCCTCTGAACGGATATAATTAAGCCTGCTTGTAAGATACAACTTCTTGTATTGCGATTCTTCGCTTATCACCTAACGTCTCCTGACAAAATGGCGTCGGTATCATCTTCATCTACTACGCGGCAATCTTTAGAACAAGGCAAACGCGAGAACATGTCTCCCCCATCTGAGAAAGATCTTGACCAAGGGCCTAATGAACCCACTGAACCAGTCGCTACCCACGAGGAACAATGGTTAACTGGCTTCAAGCTTTTCAACGTCACGGCTGCCGTCACCCTCGTCTGTCTTCTTATCATGCTTGATACGTCTATAGTAGCTACGGTAAGTACTACTCGGCGCCTGTAGTTTACTTTGAAGCTAAAGGGTCATAGGCTATTCCCCGTATCACGAGTGAATTCCACTCTCTTGCCGATATTGGTTGGTATGGAGGAGCGTATCAGCTTGGAAGGTATGGTCCTTTCTTGTTCCTTTATCAAAGAGTTCGCTGACTTAGATCTAAGTGCGGCTCTCCAACTACTAACCGGCAAGATATATATGAACTTCAGCTCTAAGGTCAGTAACCATAGGTAGATCCCCTATATTCTTTTTGACGGCGTTATTTATAGTTATAACCATACCTTATAGTGGACTTTTGTGACTTTCTTCGGCATCTTCGAACTAGGATCCTTGCTCTGCGGTGTAGCAAACTCTTCTAAAATGCTTATTGTTGGACGGGCAATTGCTGGAGCGGGATCATCGGGAATTCTAAATGGGGCTTTCACCATTCTCGCTGGAGGTGTCCCCATGGCGAAGAGGCCAAGTAAGTGCCCCTGAAGCACTTCAGAACGCATGATAAACTAACGGGTGGTATAGCTTTAATGGGAATTGTTTATGGTGGTAGGTTCAATCCAAAAATTCCCCTTCTCGAAACTGCATACTCATAATTATTCTAATTAGTATCAAATCTTGGTCTGGTAATGGGACCTTTGGTTGGGGGAGCACTTACACAGTACACAACATGGAGATGGTGTAAGTCGTAAGGTTCCTACGCTTCTATTCATTATCTAACTAAGCTTTAATACTAGGCTTTTATATCAACCTCCCGGTTGGCGGTCTCGTCGCTATCATGTTAGCTTTTGTCGACATACCCGAACAAATGCCCAAGCCAAAAGCCTCGACAGTTATCCGTACACTCCACTCGAAACTCGACCTCATAGGATTCGTTCTCTTTGCGCCCGCGGCTATCGAACTACTACTTGCTCTACAATACGGAGGATTACAACTGGCATGGGATAGTTCTCAAATTATTGGGCTCTTCTGCGGTGCTGGCGTCACCTTTATCGTATTTCTAGCCTGGGAATATTATAAAGGAGACGAAGCAATGATTCCATTCTCAATGATCAGGAGGCGGACTGTATGGACAAGCAGCTTGTCATATGGACTTCTAATGTCCCAGCTTTTCTGCCTATCCTATTACTTGCCTGTGTACTTCCAGGGTGTCAAGGGAGCAACCCCGCTGTTAAGTGGTGTATATCTACTTCCAAGCATCCTGGGTCAGCTCTTCATATCTGTTCTTTCTGGTTGGCTAGGTATGTAGAATGACCACCAGGACGCTTCTGTTACTAACAGACATAATAGTTGGGAAGGTCGGCTACTATCTCCCATTTTCTCTTATTGGGGCGGCTATGGTGACAATTGCCAACGGAATATTATCTACTCTGTCCCCTACAACATCAACAGGGGAGTGGATAGGTTATCAAATCATTCACGGAGTCGGTCGTGGCTTGGGGATGCAAATGGTAAGACTCACCTCTGCCATCCTGTGAACACGCGTCTTTAACAGTTCGCTAACTCTTAATTATTCTTCGTAGCCGATTCTCGCTGTCCAGAATACACTCCCGCCCGCTCAAGTTTCCGTCGCCATGGCGCTTCTTATGTTCTCCCAGAATTTTGGCGGAGCTCTATTTCTTAGTTTTGCTGAGACTATTTTTTCCAACAGCCTGAAGACGCTCATACCCGAATATGCGCCTTCCGTCAACCCCGAGACCATTATTAATGCCGGCGCTACTGGTTTCCGGTTGGTTATTAGCCCGACCGAAATCGCCAACGTGTTAGTGGCATACTCGAAGAGCATTGACCGCGTCTTTTACATGACCGCCGGAATGGGTGTACTCTATTTCGTCTTCTCGTGCGGAACTGGCTGGAAGGACATCAGGAAGAAGAATGAAGTCTCAAAAGCGTAAATTTATAGATATCGTTCAGGCTCCATCGAGATGAACGTGTATAACATATCATATTGGGGACGTATATCTCTTATAAGGCTAAGACGGACTGTCACGGACGAATGAAGTACGATGAAGGAAGAATACTTGGATAAAACGATGCCTAAGGTGCATATAGATTAGTCAATTCTGGAGGATAGGTCAGGCGGCGGAGACCTTCGTACTATATATATATATATATATATATTACAGCTGGTATAATACATTTAAACTAGGAATATAATTAGGTAACTTAGCGCCATGAGTGAGTGGCGTGAGAAGCAATTTATACTTGGTCAGCTTATAATGTAGCTACTAGAAACTCAAAGAGGGGATAGTTGGAGGATTGGATATCATTACCTCCTAGGTAAGTTACCTGACTGAATAACTGTGTGGAGACGACATGCGGCTCAACTGTCGACAGCCGGATAAATGAACAAGAGATTGCCTGTATCTGAATGGAGAAGGGGGTTTAGTGTACCTAGTTTCTCCTTCAAGTTCCCTAGGGCGATTCTATTTAAAAATGATTTTGCTGGATTGCATTATCGGCTGAGACGGGGCTCTTTCGTTCTGTTCCCATTCGACCAACTCTTGGCTATATGATAACTCTCGTGATCGAGATGTTAGCAAACCAAGCCGACCCAAAGCCCACGATATAGCGTCGGCCCATTCTATGGCTAAAGCAGGATGCTCGGTCCGTAGGAAATCTGTAATCTCTTGGGCAAGTGGCGCGGCTACTGACTGCACCCACCAGAACCTGCTGTTGATTTCGTTTAATAATATAGTCCAATGCAGGACAATGAGCAATGAGAACGGATCGCGTCTGCCGACGAGGGATGAGAATTTCTTCCCCGCATATCCTGGAAATCCGGCGCCGAACCCCTCCAAAAGTCCTCTTGATTCCTCAGCGTAAGCCATCTCTAGACCTTGAATTACCAATTGGTATAGTTCGTAGTCGTGTACTACAGTGATAGTTCCGGTCTCTTCAATGCTTTCCATCGGTTTGGGTGTACCTGCATGTTGCTTATTGTTGAGTTCGAGCAACCTATCTAAGGCAGCTCTAATATCTGGTTCTATTAAATCTTTCGATGCGCCAAACCGGCTTAACATGGCGCGTAGCGGGAAGGGGCTGTTAAGAAGCCATGGCATTCCTAGCATCCCAATACTGGTGCTACCATTCACTAGGTCGAAAGCCACTGAGGTCAGATCGAGTATATTGGTAGCACGTTGTGGCGTCGAAAGATGAACGGCAACGGCTATGGCGGAGAACATGTATAAGACGTGACAATTCTCGGCGTTCATACTCCCCAGTTGGGCTCGAAATGAGGTGCTACCCCGATTGTAGTATTCAAGTGCCGCGTTGACGTACTTTCTGGAATTGGCTTCCCCGACAGTCCTCGCTATTTGCAGAGATGATATAGCAAATATGCAGTTCAGCATATAGTCATGGTTGAGAGCTGACCGTGGTAAGATGGATTGTAAGTATTCCACATCTTCCTGCATACTACAGAATGACTTGTATGTATGTGTTGACCACTGATTCATTAGTTCAAGCTCCAGGAGTCTTGTAGGTCCCCCGTACGACGCACATAATGCTCCCAAGTCACCCCGTGGCCGTTCAACACTGGTAGGACATCTTGCTACGGTTCCGTATTTAGGACGCATAGATAGAGAGCTTCCATCATTGAAAGCTTCGGGTTTAGACCGATTGTAGACACAAGTGGCCTTTCGAAGTATGCAGTTATTGCAGGGCGGACCTTGCTCGTCACACTTTGTGTGCCATTTTTTGCAGTTCTGGCAGCCGTTGCGGGATTTCTTGTGAGATCTTCGCTTCTGCATGACCATCGGTTTTCGATTTTATTTTATTTTATTTTTTGAGATAGCTGGTTGCTATCATGCGATTAGCATGGGTTCTTCTAATGTTCACGCCATCAGGTTGAATGGGGGTCTTTATGGGGTTTTTATGTATAAGGCAAGGACCTAATTGATGGGACGAACTACGGGACGGAACAAATTCCCCTGATTGCGGCTGTGCTATTGTGTTACCGACGACGAAGTTTTTAAAAGCTTCCATTTAAGGCGCAATGCGCTGCGCCACTAGACCGATCCCATAATGCCCATGCTAGCTGAAAAGGGAGTGTGGCTCGGTTACCAGGGTTCGGCATCGAATTGTCGAAATTTATTGGCTTAAAAAGCCAAGAAATAAACACAAAAAGAAGTCCTGCAGATCCTTTTAAGAGATCGATCCTAAGCAAAACCTAAGATGAAGCAAACGAAACTGTTTATTTGACTACCAAACTGTCCTACCATCTCAACTTGATAAGGCTGAATGCCACTGGGTTAAGAATAGGTGTGCATTCGACATGACTAGAGACGCCAAGAAAAAATAAAACCTTCAGGCATGTTCGACACGATGATAACGATCCTGCTAACTCCTTATCTATTTTCTAATTGGCCCTCGTCCGCGTGATATGGCAGTATGGCCAAGAAGTCATCAATGCCACCGCCGTGCTGATGTGGGCTTTGCTTCTACGTCATAAATCTATTGCTCAAAAAGGAGGCCGAATTGCTAAAGTTTTCTCAAGACGACCCCTTTTGGAGAGCATTAAGTAATTTTAACTTGTTTATGGTAAGGATATGGTGGCAGTGTCGATTAATGAGATGGCTATTGGACCACATCATTGGTTTTTAAATAGGACTGTTGCAACAGCCGATTTATTTATTGATTTTACCCTTTTCCCTCAAGAAATTTAGATAGAGTCACTTGAATTCAATTGCTATAGAACTCACCATTCAACAGTGACAATGGGATTGAGCTCCGAAGACCCATTTTCTTACGTGGCTTCGACAGAACGTCTCTGGCAAGATTTCTTGGAGCCGACGACGCTTGTGCTTAAGGATCAATACATAGCACCGGAGACCGAACCTACAAATTGGCTTTATCAGATAGGCCAGGATGTGACCGCCATCCCGCAGAAAGCAACATCAATAGCCTTTGAGAAGATAGAGAACAACGAACCGGTGGAAGTTGACTCATCAACTTCTACTCGAAGCCAGAATAGACACCTCTTTTATCTTGCGCATCCATTAGGTGCGCGGTACCGGACCGATATCCCTCCCTATTACCTCACATCCGTGTCGAGCGATACGCTGGGTAACATCAGTTTAGAGACGTCTAAGTCACGGCTCGGGAAATATGCATTCAAGGTCCTAGTGAGCTCAGGAAGAAGCTGGACAGACAACCCGTTGTTCCACGAGAACGCAGAACTTTTGTTTAATGTCAAACAGAAATGGGCAAATGGTCATTACATATGGGCCGACTCCAATAATAAACAGGTGGCATACGAGGATGATAAATACAATCAACACAGACTTGTCATCACAGCATCAATGAAAGCAGACTTCAGAGATGCTCTGGTCGCTGCATGGTGTTTGAAGCTATGGCATGATACATCCGAAAGCAGCCAGGCCAAGAGCAAATGTGAGTGAACACCATCCCATCTTATATAAACTAGGTAATTAACAAAGTAAAATAATGTATTATAGATATGGAAAGTCTGACACCGCCTGAGGAGATGCTGTCAAATAGAGGTATACGATCGATGAATAGTATTGCGGGGCATGGCAATCTCGCTGGATTAGCATAGAGTGATCGGGGGGGTTATCTTCGAATATAAGAAATCTAGAATTAGCCTTAGAACATGAATGACAACAATTCAGCAGCGAAATCTTACTCTTATAATTCAGGGAGTCTATTAGTCTTTTGCTGTCCCAAAGTGACCATCACTAGGCGATAGTTCTTGTTCACTCTGCGGAGTATGCTCATCAGTACCTAATGTTACATATTCAGGCTGGAGCCCACTGCGTTACTCGGAGTAAACTTACTGCGCAATATTTCCTTGTCTTAACTATGAGGTGTGATTTCCATGTAGTGGTTATTTGGCTGTTTAGTTTAGTCGACTTTTCTACGAAAGTCCTAATCCGGTTGCTTCCAGGTTGTTATGGAGAATCGTGGGGAAGCTTTCCTAAATAGGATGATACCCAATCGGAACTGCTGATACCCCTGCTATTTTTCAGGAATATTACTACATTTGGCATATCTTGAATCGGATCCCGAGAGCCTCTCGATATATTGACTCCTTAGCAAGGGGCCTACCCAATTTTCCGGGAGAGCTATAACAGCGGTATGGGAATCCAGCCCTCGCTATTCCGAGCTTAGGTACCTAGATAGTATGTTGTTGAAACCGTCTTGCACAGTTTCTTATATAGGCAATAATTATAGCCAGTGGACATCTCGTCAGTTTAACAATTCAAGTTGACCTCTTATGCAGTCCAGCCTCGTAATGCGATCGCAACTACCTATCGCTTACAAAGTGCGCGCTACCTGCGACAGCTGCTATAAGGCCAAGATAAAATGTTCCAGAGGGAATCCATGTGTAGCTTGCATAAGGTCAGGGGATCAATGTAATTATAGTATCTCAAATCGACTTGGCCGCCCTCCAAAGGGCGCGGCTAAGAGCAAAACAGTCGGTTCGACCACCAGGACGAAAAGATCATCCAATCATAGTCGCCCTCCTACGGCGATAGCCCAACAGTCTCCGGAGAGTGGCGAATCACACCAAGATGGCTCGATGAACCTTGAAGATATACTCGTAAATGCATTCTCCGATTCATCATATGCGTTGTCGAGTCCGGAGACAGTTCCTAACCAAGACTCTGCCAGCCTTGGGGAAAGTGAAATAGCCACTAATCTTTCTTTCGCGAAGGTAAGTCGCCCTTTTCGAGCTTGTCGGTTATTTATGTAAGTCTGACATCAATTTATTACATGTAGGATAACCAAGAGTCATGGATGACTCTTGACCAGTTACAACAGTCTCCTGTGATAAGGGCACAGCAACTTAATGCCGCTCAAAACGACCCTCAAATTATGTACAATAACGACATCCTACTACCTAACTTCCAGGATTTTGGACGTCCAAGTGAGCTTACTCGGTGCAGCTGCCTCCAACAACATACCCGGTTCTTATGTCATGTAAAGGAACTAGACCGGATCCACGACCCTCATTTTATCGTCATTACGCTGGATGTGGCTAACCAATGCTTGCGTCTGTGGAAATCTCATATGAGTTGTCAGTTATGCTGGGAGGATGAAGACCACAGCGCGTTGCAATTGTTGCTTATTGGTATTGGCACAGTGGTAAAACGGCTGTGGAAATTCCTCACGTATCAGCAACAGGGCCATGAATCTATCGAAAGCTCGCCCAAGAACAGTGAGCTAGCATTTTCCGAAGTGGGAGTCTCTAAGATGGCGTCAGCCGGCGCTGAGAAGACATCCTCCAAAGAGCCTGGTGGAGTGAACCGCAGCACGCAGCTGCGACATGATTCGAAAGGCCCCCTTATAACAGCCCCTCCAATGAAGATTACGGTAGATGAGTTTCAGGTCCCTGAAGAAGAACACATGTTCATTATAGGAATGCTAATTATCCGGATGTTAACGAGGATCAAAGAGGGGCTGGGGGACATTCGGGGTAGAATCAAGATCGAGAGATCGGACGAAAAGAGTGGCGACAGGAGTAGCTGGTATCCTCTACATAGACTGGTCCCTTTGATATTGGACAACTTGGATGAATCGGTGTTGGAACTTGAGCAGTCATTACGGAATTTCGTCACGCCATAAGCAATCTTTGGTTAAAATATGATCGAATTCGAATAGGCCCTTAAAGTCCACAGGCGTGGTTATTGTCACCATTTAAGATGAATACTAATATTGATGTATAGGGGGGGTTACCTGGGAAGCGATGTACGCTACCAAAGAAAGTTGAACGAACTGTAACTATAGTTCGGACATGTAAACTGTAACAAAGTACCTAGGTTTAAATAACTGATACTATTGAGTATCAAATAAATGGCAAAGAAGATCGGGTCTTGTGAGGTTACATAAGGCTTAGTTCAACTACCGCCATATAATGCCCAGAAAAGGAGAAAGTAGGCTGGATATTGTAAGCCTTTAAACTCTAAACAAATGATACCATACATCTACCTCCAAGGGTAAACCGATGTAGCCCGAAGTCTTAGTTGGAAATGGACGGTATATGTATCGTGCGTGTCTATAAGTAACCCTACTGTGCGAATCAGAATGGGTGCGTCTCATAAGCCTTATCAGCTTCTGCTACAGCATCATAGCTATATAGCCATGGCTGCACTGTGGGGCAGGTCCTAAGTGTGCGTGGCTCGTTAGCTTCATAAATTTTATCATACAATTGAGGTCCTGTTTTAATCTTACCAGCGACTGGGAAAATGTGGTGGCGGTTCCTTGTCCACATTTTCGAGGAAGATAGCGTCTCGTTGCTCCTGAGAAGGACCATCGGGTAAATGGAATGAATCTCTCTTTAGTTATATGAAAGTTAGCATATCGTGTATAATGTTCCCGTTTCCATGTATTTTCTAACTGACCTGACCTAATGCTTCCTTTGCTATTGCCTCGCCCCGAATCTTTCGTAGCTGTTGATATAACCCAAGCGCAGGGGCTAGCTTATCGCGACTAGTTACGTATTTAAGTAGCCGACCGAGGACAGCACCGTCTTCCAGGGAGGAGTTGGCTCCTTGTGCAAGATACGGGAGCATTGGATGACATGCATCGCCCCTAAGCCCGACTGAATTAGTGGCGTCTAATGAGGAGCCATGAAGAGAAAATGTAATAACTCACGCCAGGAGGAAAGATGCCTCATTATTCACCCAGGTATCTAAGGGGGATACTAAGTAATATCATTCATGTTAGAATTATACCCCATATAAATGTATCAAGGGCATATAATTACTATGCATTAGTCGCCATTTATCCACCTTGTTCACACATGCTAGCAATTTGTTCAAGCTGTTATAAGCCTTAGTAAGTAAAAGATATACCAAATCCAATGTTCAAGGGTAACTCACATTGGATCCCACGGCTCGAATAGCTTCCGCATCTCATCCACATCAGCAGCAGAGCGGCTCACGTGTTCTGGGAGGTCATCAGGCCGGAGTAAAACAAGGTTATACATGCGACCCTGTCGGAGTGAATAGCCCACGACATGAGACTCTGGACCAATCCAGAAATTGACAGATGGATTGGACACTAATTCCCGTAACTCCGGATCATTTATATCTTCTAGATTCAATATAATTCGATATGCAAGATCTCCGGTTGGCTTCGGTGTTAGCTGTTGTTGTAACAAGAAACTTCTCGTGCGCGACCATAAACCATCCGCACCAAGAACTAGATCGCCTTGTACCTTCTGACCATCTTGTGCAACTACCGCGGCGCGTTGAAAGTCAACGTGTTGAACATCAAAACCCAGCAGAATATCGACGCCGAGTGAGCGAGCACGACGCACTAATGCTTCCTGCAAGTCTGCACGGTGGAGGTCCCAGAATGGAGCTCCGTATCGCTCGAGTATCTTCTCTTGATAATGGTCATCACGAGCTAGGATACGCGTACCGTCATATCGTCGAACTGCTAGATAGGATGGGACGGCAGCCTTGGAACTTAGTTCATCGAAAACTCCCCAATGATGGAATAAACGGCTTGCATTAGGGGTAACCTGTAGTCCAGCACCGACTTCTTCTAACCTAGTAGTTTTCTCCAGTACCGTGACTCGATGACCTTCCAGGCGTGTGCTGATGGCAGCGGCAAGGCCAGCTAACCCTGCTCCGACGACAACTAGATGGAGTTGAAAGCTGGCAGGCTTGTTACTCTGGGTTCCGTCACCGGACATTGTGAGAGACTATGAAATACCGTCAAGACGATAATATTATTCCCTCATAGTCAGTTCATATAACCACCTCTCTAAAAATCAGCTTACTTAAAGCATGTTTCGAAAATACTTAAGTATTGTCCCTCTTTTCCCTCTTATGTGAGGGGTCCGGGAATGCCGCATTGGCGAGGACATATCTTTCCTTGCGGTTAACACCTCGGTAAGCTCTGTTTGTTGGGGAAACGATGCAAGTGGGTTTAAATCTTACTGGGGCATAGCTAGGTATCTTCTTAATCTGGTAGAGGTTTCAATTTAAGCAGTATCGTATGAACAGTAAATGCTACCAAATGTTTTATTGAATATCGTATATCCAAATATTTTCTGTACCTAACAAAAACTGGCGTTTTAACGTTATCGCTTAAAGGAATATTATGTTAAACAATATTCCAGATCTTTTTCCTTTAACAAAGGTATTATCAACCTCCCATGAGCTATAAATGCGCGTTAAGTGATTGATTACCTAGGTACCTATATAACCATTTACCTGTCGAATAGTTTTAAGCGCCCACCAGACGTAAGTCAATTCATCATCGTCATCATTATCATCATCTGGATACCCGGTGAGAATCGGGGTAACCGATATATTACCTTAGATAAACAACGTAAAATCAAATTCACACATCAAGAGGACAAGTTGAATTTAGCCTCTTATTTTAAGCCTATGGCTACTGTGTTGGATAATGTAGCTTCTATAATGGTAATGAATAAGTATATTATGACCCCTTTTTATAAGCAAATATTGAATTATAATATCCATTACTAAAATCGCTTTATCGTGTAGTCAAATAGTGTATAAAAAGAATTTTAATTAGGAAATTCCAAATAAGCTTGAAAATGGGCAGTTGGAGTAAATGTATTTTAATTAGCTAGAAGCATAGAATAAAGTATTATATGAATAGGTAGGTACTTAGGCAAATAGGCACCAACGATGTTACCCCCAATGTGCCCAACATCAGGGGTCAAGGGATTGGGCGAGCTAGGTGCTCACATGAGAGGCGTCAACTGTGCGTGTGAAGGGATGGAAGCCCACGTGGTGAAGGAAGAGACATCCAATTACTACCTTTGCTAAAAAATTTCCGATGAGCTACCGCCTACCGGGTTTCAATCTGTATTTCAATGAAAATCGGCGCCTAAATTGTTACCTAGAAACCTAGCAGGTTACATGACAATCTATTGTGATTAAAAGCTCCGATTGGTTTGGTCCTCCCTCTAGTCAGACTTACTGAGTCAATATGAGAGTCTAATCTAAGTAGTACTTTATGATATTCAGTAGATAAAAGGCGGGCATCGGCATATTTGAATGCTAAGCTCGTTTGAGATCTCAAGCTTGTATACGGATTAAACCTTTTGGATACAGCTCGTGAGCATAAAGGTACCATGTTGTATTAGAGATACCAACTACAGTAATAACTATTTTTTACTACAGACTCCTAAGATAATATCTTAAAATTTAATGATTCAATATGACAGTCACATACTAGCGTAAAGGGGTAAAAAGTCCTGAGGTAAAATGTGGAGCTATATCCCCTGCCGAATCTAGGTTTCTGGTAAGTACAAATAAAACTTACGGATTGCCATAATGATATTTCTCAAATCTTACCTTTATAGATAGATAGATAGGTACTCAATTTAATTCATTAGTCATTAGATCACATGAACACCCGAATCGAAATAAACTCCAAAATAACACTCAGCAAACCGATATTACACTGGATCACAATTTATTAGAGATTATCGCTAAATACTATGTATACCCAGAATATTTATCGAGCTCATCACCTTTCAGTCTGGATTTACCAAGAATCAAAACAACCGTTTCCCCATCTCCTCTTTTGCATGGAGTTAAAAGACCGTCTAAGGTAACCAGAAGGCTCTCCGACCCTTATATATTAAGACAGCGTGTAAAAACATAAAACCAAGAGCTGGAAGGCGGTATCGATCAGTGATATGTATTCAAATTCGGGAATGGGAATGGAGGAGATGTAATGTAGTTTCTAGGTTCGGTCACTTGTTAGATTGCAACGGGTGGTCCATCCAGCATATAAGTTATCCCCATTACATATATCATAAAGTATCTATCAGGGGGAAACTTTGAACGGCCAAAGATGAACTTTCATCTTATAATACATACACTCGTATTTAGATTTTAGGTTTATCGTAATATGAGCTCTTATATCGTAGCAGCATGAAAATGACGATATGTCTAGAATTTCCTGGGGAAAGGACAATAATTAAAGCTTAGTTATTGGTAAAAGACTTTTGTAAAATATCAATGGAAAAGGCCACCGTCTATAAAAATGGCCGTTGGTTGTAGAGCCTATACATATATGAGATGGGAAGAAGCACTTTTAATTAGTGAAGGCTTATGTGGTGGTAGGAGCGAGACCTAAACGAGACCATTGATATACTTAGAAGCTCTATTCTTACTATGTCAGTGGTCCCAGGGTGGACTTCTCAGTACTATGGGGATAAAACAGTAGAAAGGGAGAAAACGCCATAGATTTCGGCGGATATGTTGGTCGAGCCACGACGGCATAAACCGATAATACGCCTGTCTCGTGCCATTTACAGGTCATGGGACGATAGAAGATAGAGCGCCGAATCCCAAACTATGATAGCATCATAGCCTGGTCTACTCACAACTATTCACCCCCCTGAACCAGGTTGAAAGCAAGTACGCTCCCCGTTCTCGCAGTAAGATGAGCCAAGGTATTCGTGAGAGAGGAAAAGGCCAGCTCGGAGCAGTTTCTTACACAATTCTTTCCTCTCGACTCTAATAGGAAGGTCGTTCCTTATTCTAACACGACGGGGAGCCTCGCCGTTGACGGCAAAACATGGTAAGCAAGGCATTATGAGCGAGGCCCGAACCAAGTCCGCTCGAGCGTTCAAGGACAATTGTCGCTGCTTTAAGCAAAGGATTACTAGACCCAGAATGAACCTAGAAAATGGGATATTGAGAATGTTGAGGATGGTTTCCGAACATCCCCCATACCGCCATATCGTCAAAGAACGCGTCAAGACAGGTCAGCCCTAGACGCCAGCTTACGAATATTCGTTCCGATATCTTGTCCATTACCTACGGGATTGGACTTAGACCCACGGTGTACCTATTCAATTGGTCCATCGAGATCATAGAATTCCATATAGGGTATATACCCCATGCATACGTAAGGTGAGTATTTGATTGGTTTGTCCTTTATGCCGTCGAGCATGTATCCTGCAGTTCCGTAGGAATGCATGAGCTATTTACACCCCCCCCTTGACCCGTACCCCTTAGTCATAGGGACCCAGTTTAGTTCATGCATGCACGGGCATGCATGTACCAGGGCGTGCAGGTGAGCTGAGCTACGTACAATGTATACTGACCCACTGGCTAGGGTCCCTGGGCTGAGTCTGAAAGATTCGACATGCTGGTGTAACATGTCGTATTCATATTCATTCTTTTTAGTTATGAGGTAGCTAAAGTACTTTGTATCATGATCAATATTATTTAGCCAAAAAATAATATGACTTTTTAAATTATATACAAATTGAAGTAAAAGAAATAGTAATTTTAATACTGTTTTTTGTAACTTATTATATTTTTATATAACCATAAATTTTAAAGTGATATATCGTCGAAATTTCATGTCGTAACAAGTTGTGTAAATGGACAATATCTACCCCTTCCGGCCGGACACGGACGAAGGTCGTATGACACGGCAACAGTATGAACTCATGGACTAGTCAACAGTGTTAAAGAGTTGTTAGAATGGTTAACTGCGGTAGAAGCCGGCTAAACAAACGGCATGGTTTGTCAGTTGTCGACGGCACAGGTTTGGCGCTAGTTCACTGGGCCTCATCTGTCGTCGAGTAAGTGTTAGAGAGCTGCTTCTTGATGCAGGTCAGCATATCAGCGGTGAGGCAGAAGTTTCCCTCTTCCAATTCCTTGTTTCTGGATGGTCTTTGACTAAGACCGCAGGGATTATACTCCTTTGCAGCTTGAAGCCGATAGAAGGCCGACTTCTATGCAACTACATCGAGAACTCGGACAATTCTTAGAGTTGGAGGTGTATATATAAAGGCATCAATCAACCATATTAAGGCATCTCTACCGTGCTATCCAACAAGGGACACCTGTCTAGTTGTATCCATCATAACTACTCCTCTTTATCTTCTTCAAACTTCATCAATTCATCATGGGCTCGCTGGGGAAGAGTGAGACTCAATATCCGAAGCCACTTAAGCTTTCGGGAGTCCTTGAGAAATTCTCATATGAGGATAGCACACCGGCTATCGGCCGAGAATTCAACAATGTGAACATTGTAGATGACATTATCAACGCCCAGAATGCTGATGAGTTGATCCGCGATTTGGGTATTACCAGTAAGTTGACCAGAAATAGAGCTATAAAGATTGACACCGGACTAACTTAGCGCCTCCTTAGTCGCTCAACGCGGTGTTGTATTCTTCCGCGCACAAAACAACTTAACAGACGACCAGCAGAAGTTTTTGATCCAGAGACTGGGCGAACTTACTGGCAAGCCTGCTGAGTCGAGCCTTCATGTCCACCCTATTCTGAACGAAACATCCGAGTTCGGTGTAGGAGACAGGCATATTAGCACAATCAACTCGGTCCACCGCAAGAAGGTATACAGCGGAGACAAGGATGCCAACAAGCACAGCCAGCAATGGCACTCGGATATCCAATTCGAGAATGTGCCTCCAGACTTCTCGTCTCTACGACTGACACTGCTGCCTAAGAATGGTGGTGACACCCTCTGGGTCAGCGGTTATCACATTTACGATCGTCTATCAACGCCGTACCAGAAGTTCCTCGAAGGCCTGACGGCGACTTACATCGCTAATGGTCTGTTGTTCCACAACGACAAGATCTTCGAGGGACCGCGTGGTAACCCGAAGAACGTCGGGAAGACTTTCACAGCTGTGCACCCTGTCGTACGCACCAACCCAGTCACGGGGTGGAAGAGCATCTACGCGGCGGCAGCGTTCCCCAAGTACATCAACGAGCTGAACGAGAACGAGTCGCAAGAGACCATCAAGCTGTTGACCCAGACGCTCATAGAAAACCACGACTTCCAGGTGCGCTTTAAGTGGAAGAACGAGAACGACATTGGTAAGTTCCCATTGACATCGTGACTTAAACGAAGCCAGCTAACCGCCACAGCTATCTGGGACAACCGTAGCACGTTCCATACTGCGACCCATGACTATGATAGGCTA